TTCCAGCCCAGTCACATGAAGTGGTGTCAGAGCATCCCTTCCATCCTAGGGTCTGAAAAATATTTTCTTTGTGTTTTACTCATTCCGCTGTCTACTGGTAGGTTTGTAGTTCATTTAGAGACCACCGCTGTGTGTGTTGTTAGGTTAGGATCTGCTTTTGCTTTTCTCCATTGAGGGAGGCCGTTTTCTCAACACTTCCCACTGAATAACCCGCCCTCTTGCCATTTATGGTGGAGCTACTGTTGCCATGTATTAAGTTCCATTTGAGCAATGTCGGACCTGAGCTCTTTGAGTGCTCTTTGAGGGTCTTGAGTGCTCTTTGTTAATTCCCAGTATTTTAGAGTGTCTTGTTGTCTGTGGAAGAGATTTCATTTTTTGTTACGTTATCTGATTGTTTATTGCCAAAGAAGAGAAATGTTCCTTTTTCTAAGTTTTAAGATAAATGCTTTTGCCTTCTTTAATAGAGAAAAAGTATTTAAGGTGATATATTTATATATTTTTGTCTGAAAAATACTCAGTGGATATTTTATACTTCACACTGAGTTCCATAAGTGTGAGAATAAAGTGTTTTGCTTTCATTGCTTTACAGATAGTCTGTAATTTTCCAGCTGGTATCACTTTTCATCCAAAGGTTTTGTAGACAGTGTTTCATAAACCCCAACAGTTAGATTTTTGGGAGTCAACTTTTTATTACATATTTCTAGTCTAATTTTGATAGTTTAAAAGGCATACTTTAAAATATTTGTATTCTTTGTGTTGTCATCTACAAATCTGCACTTGCCATCTAGCTCTACGAGGATTAAACCATTTGCTGCTTGCTGGCTTTCAGCACCCCCTGAAATAAGATCAGGGTGGAGAGCAGAAAAGAGGTGCTCTGTGGTCTGGGAAAAAATGGCAGAAAGGGCTTTCTTGGTGGCTCGGTGATAAAGAATTTGCCTGCCAATGCAGGAAACACAGTTTTGATCCCAGATCCAGGAAGAGCCCACATGCCACAGAGCAACCAAGCCTGTGCACCACAGCTACTGACCCTGTGCTCTACAGACTGGTAACTGCAACCATCGAACTCACGTGCCACAACTACTGAAGCCCGAGTGCCCTAGAGCCTGTGCTCCACAACAAGAGAAGCCCCTGCAATGAGAAGCCTGTGCATGGCAACTAGAGAGCAGTCCCTGCTTGCCACAACTAAAGAAAGTCCGCATATCAACAAAGACCCAGCACAGACAATAATAAATAAATAAAGTTGGTTAAAAAAAGGGCAGAACAGTCTTCAGATAGTTAGATATTTTCAGGAGCCAGTTTTTCGAGCCCAATTCTTATATCTCCTCATAGCTAGGAAAGCAGTAAAATCCTTCATGGTGATCAACGCTCTTCATGACTAGCAGAAACCTTCTGCAAAAGATATGTGCTTGACTACATGTACTCCCTCTTCACCAGAGTCACACATCTAATGACCTCCCCCCTAACTCTTTGGAACAGTTTCTTAGAGCTATTTGAAGTGCTGTCTCCCAGGCTATGGTCTTCAGTTCAGTTCAGTTCAATCGCTCAATCGAGTCTGACTCTTTGTGGCCCCATGGACGGCAGCACGCCAGGCCTCCTTGTCCAGCACCAACTCCTGGAGTTGACTCAAACTCACGTCCATGGAGTCGGTGATGCCATCCAACCATCTCATCCTCTGTGGTCCCCTTCTCCTCCAAATAAAACGTAACTCAGGGACTTTTCTGGTGGTCCGGTGACTAAGTCTCTGCGCTCCCAATGCAGGGGGCCCAGGTTCGACCCCTGGTCAGGGAACTAGATCCCACATACTGCAACTAAGACCCAGCGCAGCCAAATAAAAATAATTATTAAAAAACAAAACAAAACTTAATTCACAACTCTCACCTGCATGTCTTTTGTCAGCAAGGTCTAACCGTATGGTCAATTTATGTAGATGTTCCATGGATAGCCCCACATCTATGTAACTAATGTGAGTTTTGACACCTGGGCGATCATTTACTGATGGAGGGATTGTTCCTCCTCAAGCAGCATCATGTTTTTATCAACCAAAACCTGTTTTGATTGCAGGCACCTGTGTATCTAAGTCCCTAGTCCTTTCTGCATTTATAATCGCTTGTTGCACCAACCCACTCATCCGCGGGGCTCCCAGAGTTTCCAGCACCTCGCGGAGGCGTGGGGAGGGCTGCTCCCGGGTCAGGAGTGGAGCCGCCGAGTCGCTTCTCCTCCCTCAGCCTAGAGCAGCCATATTGGGCGGGGCTGGGCGGGTCTGCAGGCCGGAAGTCGAGGCGGGACTTCCGGAGCACAGCCTGGAGGCAGAGCCGCTTGGGTATCTCTGCGTTGCGCTCTTCCCCGAGCGGCTGTGGGTGGCGGGTGTTCGCGCGGTGGCGTCTTCACGTTGCTGATCGCGCTACCGATGACTCCGATGCACCGGCGGTGGGTGCTGGCCCCGGGAGGCCTGTTTCGGGTGCGCGTGGGGCCGTGGAAGCGTGCGCGGTTTGCAGCCTCGGAGGGCCCGTGACGGGAGGGCATGTGAGGGGCTCCCTGTGGACGCTACGCGACAGAGCCGAGCACTCCCTGCCCTGGAGCCGGGCGGCGGGACCGCTCGGCAAGGCAGCTGCAGAGCGACCGGCAGGTGTGCGCGAATAGTGTCTGACACGTGTGGTTGGGGCGGAGGAAGGGCCTCAGGAATTGGTGCGAATGTTAGAGCTGTCCGGAGCCGGGGGAGAAATGAATGGGGTTGCCGCTTGGCGCCCGATCCTGCCTGGAGGCCCAGTCGGTGGGGCATTCGCCCTCCGGGTGGAGAAGGGGCTCATGGAACGGGGACAGATTTATTCTCCCCCAGGGGAATGGGACTGAGGATGGGTCAGGCCCATCTTGTGGCTGTCTGCAGTGGAGTAGTGGCTGGTGATCCTCACAGTTGTGTATTTGCTTAGCACCAGGTTGAGCATTTAGCCAGACGAATCAGCTTCCAAGCTCATTGGTAGAATCCAACTCCTGAGGTTGCTTTTCCCTTGCTGACTGTCCTTATCTCCTGGAGACCGCACTCCTTGCACATGATCCATGCATCTGAGTCAGCAAAGGCTCGCATGATTAGATTGGGTCCACCAGGTAATCCAGGCCTATAGCCCTAATTTTCTCTGCAAAATCTCTCTTGCTAGGTAGTGTAGGTCCCAGGGATTAGGATGTGGACATGGATGGGGAGGAGCATCCTGTTACCTCTTGGACAGGCTCCCGCAAATACTAAAGTGGGGAGAACAAGATGTAAAATGACATAGTTTGGTGTATTTATAATAAAAAGGCAAAGAAAAAATACTCATATTTGCTTGTGTAAGCTTAGAGTAATCAGGATGGGCATGTTGGAAACTGGGGATGGGCACTGTGGCAGGCTGGGAGATGTTTCACCTTATGTTCTTTTGAATTTTGAGCCATGTGACTGTGCCACTGTTCAGAGGCAGTGATAATAACTTCCAAGATTTTAAAATGAACTGAATAAATGCTACAAAGGATGGACTCTTCCCCTGGGAGAGAGAGAGAGTGAAGCTTCCCCCTGCTCTGTTCTATTGCTTCATGGATGAGTGCCTTGAGTCAGTGTTCTCCCTACTTGTGCACCATCTCTCCGAGTGGCCACACCAGGTGAATCTTCCTGAGATGTTTCATTAATTCTGCCTCCCTGTGGAGAAATGCAGCTGGTGCCTCACTTTCCTCAGGCAGTCAAAGCCTCTTCCAGTCTGTGCACCCTGCCTTCCCCAGGAACTGCCTCTGAGCTGGGTTCACACCTCTGTCCTGTCTCCTGCCTTCTTCTGCCTTTCCAGCCAGGACCTGGTTCAAATGCCCACCTGCCCCAGGCTCTGCCCCTTCTCTGCTACCTGTGCCCAGCGCACCTGCCCATCTCACTGATGTATTTGCTGTTATCTGTCTCCCCACTGAAATCCGTGAGGGTGATGGTCACACTGACCACTGTCCTCAGAATACCTTGGCATATAGTGGGTGTTTTGGAAACACTGAAAGCATGAGTCCAAAAGGAGAAAGTCAGTCCAAGGGTTGGGAGGCAGTGTCTGCCAACATTTCCTGCCTTGTCTTCATTACTGAAGGACAAAGTGGTCCGTGGTACCTGCTTATGGTGCAGTGTGAATCAGGGGCCAAGGGATGTTGCCCCCTCCTCGGTGGGATGCTGGCCAGGGCATGGTGCATTTGCTCAGAGACAAGACAGTCGGGAGGGGGAGAAAATCAGTAACTTGTCCATATAGGGTCCCATCCTGTGCCTGATTGGGCATGCCTCCCTACTTGTAGATGCCAGTTAGAGCTGGAGATGAGCCCCAGTCTTTAGAGTCTTCATGGGGTAAAGGATGTTGGTACCTCAGGACTGGACAGATTAGCCAGGGAATTTGATGTGGATGCAGAAGTGAATCCTGGGACACCAGCGTGAAGAGGGAGCTAAGGAGGAGTCTGGGAGGGAGCCAGTCACTGGTGCAGTGGGAGGACAGCCCAGGAGGGTGGGATGGGGACAACCACTGCAGATGCCGCTGGGCGGCAGAACTCAGGCTGGCCAGTAGAGTGGCACTGTGATGTGCCGTGCATGTCTGTAGTGAGGCTCGCTTGGCAGCCTGGCCTCTGAAGCTGCTGCTCCCTGTGGAGGTCAGTTGGTCCACTTTCAGGGCATTGTGTCAGGACCAGGGTGGCCTACCGCAGGTGCAGGCACCATGAGAGCTGCTGCCTCTTACCATGGCACTCTTGGGCTCTTCCAGGTGTGCTCATAGGCCCTGTAGGTCACCTTGCTCTGCGGTCAGCATCTCATTCCTTCCCGCCTGTGGCCCTGGCTTGTGAGTCTGTGTCTCCTTGGCTGGCTGGCCTCCATTGGTTCCAGGATCAGGGAATGTGGTATCAATCATCAGGCCTTCCTGAGGTCTCAGGGTGAGGGGTGGAGGGAGTGACCCCTGCCTGGTGTGCCAGTGAATCCCTGGAGTTACCCCCTCTGCACACTCACCTGTGTCCTTGCTGGTCTCCAGGTCCCAGCCATGCCCAGCCTCAGAGTATGCTCTGAAGAGGCAGCAGTGGAGCTCTCAGTTCCTGGACCATCCCCTTGGGCCCCTAGAGCCCAGTCCTGTGTGGAGTGATGCTCCTGCCAAGACCCACCCTGGATCTGCACTTCACGGTTCCCTCTGTTATGACGCTGAGCCAGGAGCCACCTCCCCTCACCAGCAGCCAGGTACTGGGCGTGCATTCCCCACTGATGCACTTGTTCTGGGGAGACTTGGTCTACATCCCCCTGCACTTACCTCTGGAGGTGTCCTGTCAGCATTTGGGGCAGAGTGCCTTGTGGCCTTGCAGGGCCAAGGCTGGAGGTCAGAGAGAAAGTTGGCCTGGCACCAACTGCCCTGGTGCCCTGAGCAGGACTCTGGTTTATTCACCTGAAATAGAGGGTGTGACATGATGATCACCAGCTGATCCCTGCCTAACTTCCTTGCCAGACTGGTGGCAGTCAGACTGCCCTCAGGTCTCTGCCCTAATCCAGGCCTTGGCCCTGTTCCCTCCTGGCTACATTCACACTGCCCAGCTGCTCCCATCCCTGTTAGATACCAGACAGTCCTTCCTGGAGACACCTCACCAAGTTGCCTCTTCTGTGGCCCTTTCAGCAGGGATCAGGGGTTGCTCACTGTTAGCTTTCCTTGCTGGGATCTGATGATGGCTGTTTTACAAGAATACACCTACCAGGAAAGTATTATACTGAGGACATGTGGGCAGAGTATCCTGGACAGACTCTGTGGCCAGAGAAGTTTGGGCTAAGTGCAGAGATGGTCATAGGTATGTTGGAAGTATGAGATGGGTAGAGGATGAGAGGCATGATGGGGCCAAGAAGTGGCCCTGAGGGAAAAACTTGCTGCTAGATGACCAAAGGTGTGCCAAGCAGAGAATGGCGAGTTAGGTCAAGACCCTTGCTCCAGGGAGAACACAGGTTGATGGTAGCTCATGTTTTAAAAGCCACTATAGGGCAAAATAGTGGAGTAGGCAGGTCCAGACACCCAGTTCTTCACATAAACTATTAAAACGAAAACAAGTAGAAGCTATCAGGACCAACATAGTCAGAAATCTAGAAAACAGGTTTACAGCAACCAAGCAAATGCTGAATCAAGAAAAAGGCAACTTAAAAAGGAAATTTTCACAGATACTTCCTGGTTCAGCAGCATATTGAAAGTGAGCATCCTGTGTTCCCAGTGTGGGACTTGGTGCTTGCTTCCAGAGGGAGCAGAGCAGAACTTATTCAGAAATCACTTTGTCCTTCCCTGTGTGGAGTTGGAAAAAGAGTTGAATCAAAGTGTTTGTCTCTGTGTTGCCTAACTCAGAATTACTTGGTGGAAATTGCTGGGCTCAAAACATAGAAACATGAACTGAACTCCCTCAGGTACTTGGGATGTCACTTAATAGTACAGTCAACCTCCTAAAGCCCAGGAGGGAAGGGCGGAGAAATGAGGGCATTCTAAAGCACCCTTGTATGTCAGGGAGTTTAGAAAGCCATGTATAGACCCAGGATAGAAGGTACACTCAGAAAAGACTTATGAAGATTGTAGTGTCACCTCCAGCTGATCTCTGTGATCTGTGGAAGCAGGAGCCATGCAGAGTAATAATTAGTGCTGAAGTAGTGTCCCAGTGGAGCACAGTAAATATTGTCAAATGTCCAGTTTTTGACAAAAAAAATCATAAAGAATACAAATAGACCGAAAATACAGCTGGCCCACTCAAGGGAAAAAAATTAATTGACAGAAGTATCCCTGAAAAAGCACAGACACTTAAACAGATTATAAATAAGCTGTCTTAAATGTGCTCGAAGATCTGAAAGAAACCATGGACTAAAATCTATGTACGAATGAACTGAAAAAGTCAGTAGAGATAGTTGTAAATATACAATTCACATTTTATTTATTATAAAAAGAAACAGAGTGGAAGTCCTAGAGCTGGGACTTCCTGGTGCTCCAGTGGTTAAGGCTCTGCTTCTCACTGCATGGAGCACAGGTTCGATCCCTGGCCGGGGAACTAAGATCTCACATACCTCATGGTGCAGTCAAAATAAAGAAGTCAAATGGAGGGAGAACTGAAGTAACTGAAGTGAAGAGTTTTCTGGAAGATTTCAACAGCAGATTTGAGCAGGCTATAGAACTGCTGCACTTGAAGTTATCCAGTCTGAGAAGCAGAAAGAAAAAAGGTTGAAGAAAAGTGAACAGAGCCTAATAGACTTGTGGTGAAAGGCTGTTGCTGAGCCGTGAAAGATGCTAGGATTCTTGGCCTCTGGAGGAGAGGAATTCAATCCATGGTCAATGACAAGGCTTGACTGCTCAGAGCTTTTGTGTAATAAAGTTTTATTAAAGTATAAAAGAGATAGAGAAGGCTTCTAACATAGACATCAGAAGGGGGCAGAAAAAGTGCTTCCTTGCTAGTTTTCAGCAAGAAGTTATATACCTATTAGCAAGTTGCTAAAAGAAAATGTCTCAGAACTCAGAGAGTGGCACCAGGCCCCTCACCCACAACATGCGTCTTGAGATAACATTGGCAAAAGGTGAGTCATCCTGGGCCATAAAACAATTGACAAGAATCTTGAAGAAAGGCAGATTTCCAAGCAAATACATAGTCTCATTAACATAGCTTAAGAGAACATATCTGTGAGTAAAACATACTGGTTTATTGAGCCATTATCAGTTCTGATAGATGGAACCGACTTGAAGAAAGGTAGAGTCTAGGGTAAATACGTAGTTCATTAACATAGCTTAAGAAAAACATTTCCATAAGAAAAACTCATTGGTTAGCTCAGGGTTTGAGAAAAGTTAAGTTCAGGTGGAGCCAGGTGTCCTCACAGCAGCACAGAATTTTATAAGAAACTTCCTTTTAATTTTCTATAGAGAAGGGAAAAAAATCTGACAATTGTAGTTTGTTTCCTCCTGCTGCTTAAGAGAGAGAGAAACGACGTCTGACACTTGCAGCCTGCCTGCTTGTTACCCTCTCAGTGGGATATCACCAAGGAGACCAGCACGCACATGGGAGTCCAAGAAGGAGGCGAGAGAGACAGAAAGGGACGGAAACATGTTAAATTTGATGAAAGATGCAAAAAACTTTGAACCTACATGTCCAGAAAGCTCAGTAAGCTCCCAGTAGAACAGATTCAAAGAGATCCACACTAGGACTCATTATAATCAAATTGTTGGAAGATTGAATCTTGAAATCAGCAAGAGAGAAGCAAACCATCTTGTATAAGGGATCCTCAGTAAGATGAACAGCTAGCTTCTCATCAGCCCTTGGAGGTTGGAAGGCAGTGGGATGACATATTTAAACTGCTTAGAGAATGAAACTGCCATCTAAGAATTCTACATCTGGCAAAATTATCTTTCAGAGTAAAGGCAAAGTTAAGGTATTCTTGGATAAACAAAAGCTTAGGGTGTTTATCACCAACAGATGTGCCCTGTAAGAAGTGTCAGAGGAAGTGTTACAGGCCAAGAGGAAAGGGTATTAGGCAAGAGCTCAAAGCTATACAGAGAACCAAGGATTTCTGATAGAATTAACCACATAGGTAAGGATAAAAGCTAGTATTGTTGTATTGGTTTATAACCTCACTTTTTATTTCCTATATGATTTAAAAGACAAATGTGTGAAATGATCATAAACCTATAGTACTAAACATATAACATGTAAGGGTTCATTTGTGACTGCAACAACATAAAGGTAGCAACATATCTGTATAGGAGCGGAGTTTCTGTGTGATACTGTGGCTACTTTGGTTAACAGTTCAAACTTGGTGACTTTATTCTGAGGATTCAACATACAGCATGATGACTATAGTTAATAATGTATAGTGTACTTGGCAACTGCCGGGAGAGTCAATCTTGAAAAGTTCTCACAACACACACACACACACACACACACACACACACACACACACACACAGTGGTTAATGTGCAAGGTGATGGATATGTCAGTTAACCTTATGGTGTTCATCATTTGCATATATATGTGTATCAACTCATCCCATTGTGCACTTTAAATTTAATATGATGGACTTTCCTGGTGGTCCAGAAGTTAAGAATCCACCTGCCAATTCAGGGTACACAGGTTCAATCCCTGCTCCAGGAGGATCCCATGTGCCCCAGTGCAGCTAAGCCTATGTACCACAGCTACTGTGCCAGTGCTCCAGAACCCGTGAGCTGTAACTACTGAGGCCCATGTGCCCCTAGAGCCCATACTTTGCAATAAGAGAAGCCACCACAATGAGAAGCCTGTGCACTGCAACTAGAGAGTAGTGCACCCCCCCACCCCTGCAACTAAAGAAAGATGATGCAAAACAGCGAAGACCCAGCACAGCCAGAAATAAATAAATTTATTAAAAAAAAAGATAACAACTTACATGATGTTATATGGCAATTTATTTCAATAAAGATGGGGCAAGGGGCCAAAAAAGCTGAAGGGGGAAGACCAAATTAGATTGTTCTAGGATGTTAGAATATTAATTATAATCGCCATGGTACAACTAAGAAAGTATCTTTAAAATATACACAAAAGGAATAAAGAAGAAAATCAAATGATATGCTACAAAAAATAAACTGAACACAAAGATAGTAATAGATCAAATGAGGAACACAACGGTCAAAGACACTGAAAAGATTCAAGAAACAAAATGGTAGAAGTAAGTCCTTCTTTGTCAGTAGTTAACTGTTAATGGTTTAAACTCTTGTCAACAGGCAGATATGTCAACAGGCAGATATGGGCAGAATGGATTTAAAAAAGTATGACCCAACTATGTACTGTCTACAGGAGGCTTACTTCAGGAGGTTTCCAAAGGAAAAAACAAGCTTAAAGTGAAAGGTAAAAAAGATATATTCCATGCAAATAGTAAGAAAAGAGACCTGGGGTTACTATACTAATATCAGACAAAGTAAACTATGTCAAATAACTGTTACAAGAGAAAAGAAAGATATTATATATTGATAAAGGAGTTAATTAATCAGGAAGATTGTTGTTCAGTCTCTTAGTCATGTCTGACTTTTTGTGACCCCATGTATTATAGCCTGCCAGGTTTCCCTGTCCTTCATTATCTCCCAGAGTTTGCTCAAACTGCTGTCTACTGAGTTGATGCCTTCCAACCATCTAATCTCTTGTCCCCTTCTCCTCATTCCCTCAGTCTTTCCCAGCATCAGGGTCTTTTCCGATGAGTCGACTCTTCACATC